GGAATCTAGTTTCTAGGTAGTCCATAAAAATGATCCCGTAATTGGGGGCCATTTTGATTCCCATTGCAGTACGCTGGGTTTGTAGAAAAAATTCTTTGTTGAATCTAAAACAGTTGTTTGTAAGAATGATGGCTATCATTCTCAGTATGATCCATGTAGCTTGGTTATGGTCCGATCTATTATCTAGTGCTAGTTTTGCGGCTCTTATGTCGTCTGAGGGATGGATGTGTAGAGAGACGACACGTCCGCCGTGCATAAAAGAGTGCGCGGCGGTAGTGCCCCTATTGACTTAATCTTTCTGACTTTGTTACTTTCTCTGTGGCAGTAAGGCGGGTCTTCCAAGATCTAGATGTTCCATGATAAATTCTGTCATATAAACGGCCATGACTGCAGCACACAGTTCCAAGCGCGGAATAGTGTGATCGTGGGATGGTGCTACTTTGGTTTTTCCGAAAGGATATCCAACATGAGATGATCCATCAGTATCAATTATCCGAAGATATGACACGGCTGCAATAGCTTTTTCTGACGCATCAGAAAACACATGGAGTTCGGGACGCAATGCTTGTGAAGGAGATATATTCACATAGGATCTTGGAATCCTCAAGCTCTTGAGAAACATCAACGACTCCTTCCATTTCCTCCATTCCTCATAATCTGCAGCCTGAAAAGTATCATCCCAGTCCAAGCCATTGGACATGAATTGACGTAGGAGTAGCTTCCCTTTGATGGTCACAGGAGCGACAAAGCCTAGCGGATCAAAAATGCTGTTCACTACTGACAAGACGCCTCTGCGTGTAAATGGTTTGCCATCTACTGAAGTGAGAAACTTGATTACATCATCCCTGATATCCCAAGCAAGATCTAAACTTCTCTGTAGAGGGAGGGCATCCTTCTGGAAGTCCAGATCCATCAGGTTCTTGGTCAAATCCTCAACAGGAAATGCCGAAAAACTTCTTCAGAGTTAGATGCAATTTTGTGCAATCGCAGGTTTCCATTGTCCTTAAGAGCTGCTTGAGTTCGTTTGAGCAGATCAACTGCTTCGTCGCTGGTGGGATGTGATGACAGTGCATCGTCGACATAAAAGTTCCTATTCACGAATTCCTTTATGTCACTGCCATACAGTCGTTCGCTTTCCTCTGCTGTCTTCCAGAGGCCATAAGTAGCAACAGCTGGCGATGGGCTGTTGCCAAAGACATGGACTCTCATCCTAAAATTAACCAGTTCCTTAGTTATGTCATTGTCCCATAGGAAACGTAGGTAATTCCTATCTTCTGGTCTCACCATGAAGCAATAGAACATCTTCTTGATGTCGGCTGTGACAGCAATGGCTTCTTTCCTGAATCTCATCAGTACACCAACTAAGCTATTTGTAAGGTCGGGGCCGGTCAGTAGAACATCATCGAGTGAAGTTCCGTTGAATATCGCCGATGAGTCAAACACACAATGGCAAGTACCAGCATTCTTCACCTGGAACAAGTGGAGGAGCTAGTTCTGCATGCCCACTATCAAGAAGTTCTTCCATAAAGCTTTTTCACTGCATCCCTATTCAAGCTTGAATCCAAGTTCTTGGCTCGGTAGAGTGCCTGTAATCTGTTATTAGAAAGTTTAGATCTGGACGTCCGGAAAGGAAGGGGTGCAATCCAATGGCCATCCTGTCCCTGATAACACTGATCATTCATCAGACTTAAGAAGATTTTGTCCTCTATCGACATTCCAGGTCTGTCATCTCCTTCGGTGCGAACGAAGACTGAAGAGCCTAGTTGATCTCCAGTGTCCAGAGTAGATGTCTGGTTTGGGGACTCGTGCACATGAATTTTATTGTCACAAGGTTTGAAGACAGAAGGACGACCTTCTGTAGTGAGGTAAGTCTTCATTGTGCTTACTACATCTGGCGCGTGAGCACCTACTAAGCACGTTTCACCTACTATGACCCCGCCAAGCCTAAGTCGTTGAGCATACGATTTGCTGGGTGGACCAAGCCTTTGCTCAATTCCAGCATGCCCCTTCCTATCAGCAGCAGAATGTCTGACTGTGGGTCGAGTGGAGATAGTTGATGAGCAATAGGCTCTAAATGAGGATGGTACATAGCCACTTCCGGTGTCGGAATTTCGTCTCGGTGGTCAGGAATCTCCTCACATTCTATGACTGTGGGTAGATTTAGCTGAGTGGTGCCATCAAGCGATTCCACTATGAAACCTTTAGATCTCCTGCCCGGCATGATGACGCGACCAGCACAGCTAGACATAGTGTAGTTTTTCGGCTGACTGTTAATTCCACATGCATTAAAAGTTCCTCCTTGGCCAATGACTTGTTACTTTGTTCATCAAGAATTGCGTATGTTCTCACATTTCTGTCTGGGTGTTCACTATGGCAAATGTTCACGTATACTATTTTAGCACAGGATCTTCCTTTAAACCCATTCTGACTCCGTGCATTTAGAGATCACATTAGAAGAAGCTGGGCTTGATGTACTAGTAGATGAGATGTCAAATGTCTTGGTAGATGATAGATCTTGATGAGCTGTTCTCTCCCCGCCATGATTACCTATGGGGGTTGACATATTAGACTGAGTATCCGGGGGGTGCATGCCTGTGGCGTGACGAGTACTACTACAGGCTTGACATTTCACTTCCTTTGGACAGTTACGACTGATGTGTTGTTTTGACCCCAAACATTTAAAGCAAAGTCCATGCTCCGATAACCTCTGACGACGGTCATGGAGAGGTTTTTGTCTAAATTGTCTACAGTCATTAAGTGAGTGACTGGCATTGTGAATAGGACAGCAGGTAAATTGCCCCTCATCTTGAGACACAACTGCTGTTTTGGCAGTAGAAATCTTGGTACGCGAGACGGGCCTACTGTGTGTGATAGCCGAGATTTCAGTGTCGAATGAAAACCCTGGGTCATTTATCCTCACAGCCAAATTGTTGACAAACTCAACGAAAAAGCTAAATGGTAGATAGGGCACATTGTGGGACCTTTAGTATGTGGTAGCCCTCTCCTGCCACTTGTTCTGAACATGTTGTGGTAACTTGACAACCACATAGTTAACTCCGACTGATGTGTCATAATACGACAGTAGTCTCTCATACTTAGGATCAGTTTTGAACGACAGGATCTCGGAAAGAATGTCACCAAGTTCATATAGCTTTCTTTTTTCTTTGAAAGTCACTTTAGGGAAGTTCTGTAGTTTCCGTTTTAGAGAGTCGTCAATAGTCTCGGCACTACCATATCTCTCTTCTAGTCTGTTCCAAGTAAGCTGTAATCCTTTGTTGTAGTTGAATGTGTTTGCATTCCGCATACTTGTAGCATGTAGACTGGACTCGGGACCCAACCATTTTATTAAGAGATCCATCTTTTCTGCAGTGTTGACCTTAATATCAGCAACGACAGAGTGGAAGGTTGCCTTCCAGCTGAGGAATGATTCAGGTTTGTCGTCAAACTTGGACAGTCTAGATCTGAGTAAGTCTTTCTTCAGCAAAAATTGAGAAAAACCCTCAAAGGATGGTGAAGGACAGATAGCTGGTGTCTCCTGAATCTGTATTGAATGATTACGATGATTCTGTTCAATACTAGATCTAGACTTTACCTCGTCGATTTCTGAAATTTCATCATATATTGCCTGAAGTTCTGCATTGTTACATCCACTTCCTTCTTAGCCGAAAGGAGAGTCATACTTGCCTCGATATCCGCTTTCTTTTTTATCAGTTCAGCTTCTTCTGTCACATAGTCCAATTTTACATGTGCAGCTTGAAGCTTAGCTTTCTGTTTTAACACCATTGAGGTTGTCCTGCTTGATGCTTTTGAATGTGTTCGTGAATGCACAGAAGTTGACTGTGATCGGCAATGTTCAATGTCTTTCTTCAACTGGGCAAGCGCAAATTCACATTTTCCTTTCACTGACCCCTGGATAAGTTTTTGGGATTGAAGTTCTCTAACACTTTCTTTTGTATTCTTACGCACAAGAAATCCTGCGAATTCTGTTGATTCTTTATCATATTTTTCATATAGTGTTATGAGTCTATGTCTCATGAATGTGAGTTGATCTTTGTTTAACTCTTTTTTGGTACACTAAAAGTTCTTGTTTGAGTTCATGGTGAATGTTATTTAAATTTAGTGTGGGTTTGTAAATTTCCGATTCGTATAGAGTTGAGGCCTTTTCTGTTAATACATGAACTCTTCTTACTCCTGTTTCACTTTGAGTGTCTCTTGTTAATTCCATGTCTGTTGCCCTTAGTGAGTTTAGGTTTCCTTGACTCCTCCAGTCCATGATGATACCTCAACATCTATCTTCAGTTTGGAACACACTTCCGGGTAAGCCTTGTACGAGTACTTTTACTGTTCTGTCTTCAGTGTGGGACACACGTAAATAATAACAACAGACAGCGTTACCTCATTGCCAAGTTTTATTCCGTGAATTGTCGAATTGGTAAAAGACTACAACATACAAAACAATGTGACTTATTAGATTTAGGTATAAGCACATATGGACAAATTAAATCATATTTTTTGGAATATAAGAAGTACACAGTACTACACACCTGGAATGGACATAAATCCCCGCGAAACCAGGTCATGAATGAAAATATGATCAGTCACCAAATACACATGAGTTTCCAATTAATACTATTACTATCAACACATTTCAATATATACCAGAAACCCATATCGCAACAGTAAACTTACACTGTGGTTGGCTACAGCTTATAATTGCAGAAAAATGTGAGGATCTCACTGTGGCAGAAACCATGCCGTCGAAAAACGTAAAGAAAACAAGATTTCCACAAAGGGAGATAACTCTTGTGTAACTCTAAAGTTCATTAAAGTTGCATGCATCAAAGATAGATAATAACACATCAGCAGACATGTTTTGTGAAATTAAAATATATCAAAGGGACATGACCCATTAGTGTATAACTATTCGTACATAGTATTATCTTTGAATTAAAATTTCATTTCTAAATGTCTAAAACAAATTTTCTCCTTAATCTTTTCAGTATTGTCATGGTTATTATCATCCTCTGCACAACTGTACCATTATGTAAGTATACAATTAACTCAATATGGTGTGGGTTTGTAGGAAAAAAATCAGTATTAGTAGAAAGCTTTATGGTAATTTGTTCCAGTATGAAAAACTTTCTAAATCCTCCATCAGTACAAACATGGATACAAAATTCCCACGATAATAATAAAAAGAAATTGCCTGATTATAAGTTGAAATGAGAAGTGTCTTGACTGTCTCAGCTTTAGCCTGCAGTAACTACGGTAACTTTTATTTAAGCAATTAGCGAATTACTATACCTATTTTAAAGTCATCCTGTATCCATGCATAGAAATAATTGTGCCATGGTAAAGCTCACACTCTTTTTTAATTTTTCAGTGAAAGAGTCCGGGTATATACTTTTACAAGCAGTGCCTGATCATATACAACTGGAGGAAATTAAGAACAAATTAAAAAAGGTAATTTAGCCAAATTGTGCAACATATTACAACTATTGTCCCTTTTCTTCTTCTTTTTGTTAAGACCAAAGAAAATAAATTCTTTGTTTCCACTTGCCCTATATATCTACCTACCCTACTTTTTGGTGTGTATATGTCAACACTCCCATTTTCATTGGGAAACTTCTGATATTTTATCGAATATCAACAAAACAGAAAATCCATCTTTGGTGGCAGAAAACTCCTGATATCAATCAATAGTCATGTTTGATATCCTTGTCTCGTCAAATTAGAGTTTCTTGAACAGTGAGAGGCCATATAACTGATAATTAGGGGGCTTGACCACGCCAGTCCCTCAGCAGCTTTACAGTGTTAAAGCAACTGATCAGAGGACTAGAGAGTACAACTGCTTTTTTATAATTACGTGAGAGCAATTGAGATTACCATAGATCAAACACTGCAGATGCAAACCAAATCCTTTACAGGTAACTTATCACACGACAAATCCTTTACAAGTAACTTATCACAAGTCAAATCCTTTACAAGTAACTTATCACAAGACAAATCCTTGGCTAGGACGTTAACAGTTATTAACGTCCTAGCTGTTAATAGGACGTTAAACAAAATCAAACAAACAAATTGACAAGTAACTTATCACAAGACAAACCTTTACAAGTAACTTATCACAAGACAAATCTTTTACAAGTAACTTATCACAAGACAAATCCTTTACAGGTAACTTATCACAAGACAAATCCTTTACAAGTAACTTATNACAAGTAACTTATCACAAGACAAATCCTTTACAAGTAACTTATCACAAGACAAATCCTTTACAAGTAACTTATCACAAGTCCATTCCTTTACAAGTAACTTATCACAAGACAGGAGTGAATGTAAGCATACCTCATTACAAGTT